TCCAGCACCACCTATCATCACCTCACATACCAACAGTGGTATGCTGGACACACTTTGGTAAACACGAACCCAAATACTCATAATTAGTAAATGCATGACTCTCCTAAGTAACAAGGTCGTGCCTTCTCCTTTATTCTTCTCCCTGGCACAACCTCCCCCATCCAACCTTCTTAAAAGAGCTTTATGTACTCACTTTCTCCAATTCCTTTCCTCCTGTCTTCTCTTGAACCCACTTCAATCTGGTGTTTACCCCTACCACTCCACCGCCTGGCTTCTAACACACTGCTTTTCATCAGTTTTTCCTGCCTTACTGGACACACTTCAACTTTCTTCACTGGTTTCTCCTTTCTCCTCAATCTCTTAATGTTGGTGAGCCCACCAACTTAATGCTGGTGACCTGAAGCTTCTTCCTTTCTCTGTCCATACTCATTCCCTTGCTTATCTGCTTCATTCATATGACCTTAATTTGTTAAATACAGTTAATTAGCCATTCACAAAGACGTCCTCACATTTGTACATGGTAAGCCTTTAGACATTTGAATGATTTGATGAAATATCAAAGCATCAATAAATTTAAACTTATTTAAAGTTACGGCATCATGATTAAGGACACAGGCCCTGGAATCAGACTTACACCAAACCTTGTACCTGGCTTCATGTTTACTAGATTCACCACATTACACCTCAATTTCTTTAACTGATAAAATAGGTTTAATAACATTGCCAACTTTATAAGCTTTATCACGAGGGTAAAATGAGTTAATTCATATAAAGCACTTTGCTGGCACAAAGTATGCCCTCATTCAGTGTTAGCCATTATAATTCAACTAAATGTTCCTTTGTCTCGCTATGCTAAGAGAAATGGGAGCCACTAAAAAAAAAAAAAAAAAACTGTCTGTAAGACATGAATGCCACCATACAATAAATGCCTTATGAAAGCAATACATATGCATATTTCTGAAAATCACAAATGAAACATAAAAACAGCATAAAGTGCTATCTATTCTTTGAAGTCTTCTGCCCACTTTATGCATGTACAAACTCTCCAAAGCCTGTTCCTACTGAGCTGAAAAAAGTACTAAACTAATAAAAGCAGATATCCAAAAAATACAGTTACGAAACATTTTGATGCTTCCCTGTATTTCAGTTCTGACAATTTTGGTCGCCAAATCACTAATTTTTGTATTGCTATTCAAGTTAATCCATACCACAATCCATGATAACTACTGTATGAAACCTTCTCAAAAGATTTTTTTAAATATTAATTCCAGAGAGGAGACACATTAATATATTTTTGACTGACAAATAAACAGAGAAGAGTTACTTTTAATTTTTTTCTTTAAAAACTAAGGAGATCATGAGAGAACATAAACCAGAAAGAAAAAATAAAAATACAAAATTATAATAATAATAAAAACTAAGGACAGGCCTGAGTATGGTGGTTCATGTCTATAATCCCAGCACTTTGGGAGGCTAAGGCAGGAGAGTAGTTTGAGTCCAAAAATTTGAGACAAGCCCAGGCAACATAACAAGACCGTCTCTACAGTATTTTTATTATTATTATTATTATTATCTGGACATAGCAATGCATGCCTATGGTCCCAGCTACTCAAGAGGCTGAGGTGGTAGGATCACTTGAGCCCGAGAAGTTAAGGCTGTACATGCCATGATTGCGCCAATACACTCCAGCCTGGGCAGCAGAGTGAGAAACCCTGTCAGAAGAAAACAACAACTAAGGAAAAATCAAAAAGAAAGAGAAGGTATCAAGTCTGTGCAGGACTTCAGCTCCGTAAGTAAAAATCAAAGTCAGTAAAATCTGCATAGAGTAATAAATGTTAGGAACAAGGCAGTTAAAGATTAAAAACAAGCAGTTTTACTGGGATTTTAGGAACTGGCAGGGGAGAATGTGAGTGTTGATTTTATATATATATATACCTTTTTTTGTGTGTGAGACAGAGTCTCACCCTGTCACCCAGGCTGGAGTGCAATGGTGTGATCTCAGCTCACTACAACCTCTGCCTCCCGGGTTCAAGCGATACTCCTGCTTCAGTCTCCTGAATAGCTCGGATTACAGGCACATGTCAACATGCCCAGATAACTTTTTGTTCTTTAGTAGAGACAGGGTTTTCACTATGTTGGTCAGGCTGGTCTCAAACCCCTGACCTAACAATCCACCTGCCTCGGCCTCCCAAAGTGCTGGGATTATAAGCCTGAGCCACCGCACCTGGCCTCATTATATTTGAAATACATCATAAAGCTAAAATTAACAAAAGTAGAAATAACACGCATTCACATTTTGAAAAACCCTGAAAGTAATGCAGCCACAGATATTATATTACATGAGAGCAAGATTATATGAGATATTATATGAGAGCAAGATTTTTAAGAAGTTAAAATGATTTGAATTATGCCATAACCATTCTAATATCTATTAAATTAAACAAGGAATTTTGACTACTTTTGGGTCCCCTTTCATAGGTTCTTCTCAGTTTATCTGCTAGATGACATGTTCCTACACAACCTTGCTGATATAATTAAACCACGGATTATCTCTGAATAAGGCTGGGTACTACTGTGATATAATAAAAGGGAGAAATAGCAGAATATAGTCTAGTTGTTAATAGCATGGACTTTGGAGCCAGGCTTCCTGGGTTCAAACTCCAATTCACAACACTTAGTACTCTTTGAAATATACACTTTTTTGTTCAAAAGGGAATATGTGCACTCTTCCTGGCAACAGTTGTAGTTTCCACAATATTTTAAAAGAGCTGTTGATTCCAACAGGAATTCAGTTTCCTTAAATCAGAGGCAGTAGTACATTTTGATACACGAAAGTTACTCATGCTAGGACTCTGGTGGTATTTTCCCTCATCACCCCTAAATTCAGCCATTTCTATTATTGAAGGATTTAATAATAAAGACCTGATTTGAAGTCTGACTCATTTTTAAAAAGGGAACGGGCAAGACACGCTATAGCTGGTCAGGGCCAGCTATATAATCTGTGTAGGCCCCTGTGAAATGAAAATATGACGCTCCTTGTCCAAAATGCAAGACAAATACCTTCAGCTTACCGGTAAGTAGAGAAGGACTGAAAATAAACGGAACTGTGGAATGTCTTATCTTTCCTTTTCCTCTCATGCCATCACTTTTAGTGTAAGTGGTTAGAAAATACAATAAGGTGGTTGGGCATGGTGGCTCAGCCTGTAATCCCAGTTTGGGAGGCCAAGGTGGGCGGATCACTTGAGTTCAGGAGTTTGAGACCAGCCTGGGCAACATGGGGAAACCCTGCCTCTACAAAAAATACAAAAATTAGTGGGACGTGGTGGTGGATGCCTGTAATCCCAGCTACCCGGGAGGCTGAGGCAGGAGAACTCCTTGAACCCGGGAGGCGGAGGTTGCAGTGAGCTGAGATCACCTCACTGCACTCCAGCCTGGGAGACAGAGGAAGACTCCGTCTCAAAGAACATAATAATAATAATTTCAAGATGGCACGTGTGAGCCTTTCTGAGCACTTTGCACTTAGGTCCCTAACTACAGAATAAGTGTTTCATGGAAGCCATTTCGTGAGCATCCTGAAGACTGAAACTGTATGACATGGGGCAGCAGGAAACGGTCTGACAGACACAAACATTGCATGAATTACATCTGCTCACAAGACTGCTCCATTGTGTCATCAGACATCACTTACAAAACCTAAGTTCAAATATCAACCACTAAGCATTTCAAGATGGCAACAGCAGAGCATTAAACCAAATCCACAACCCTTCTAAGCACTGGTTGCCTGCTCACGAAGCTGGCTCTACTCTCTGCTCTCACTTTTCACTTCATACTCTCTGACCTCAAACAACAAAAAAAAACCCTCTGCCCATTCTCACTAGGGTGAGCATGTGCTAGTTACCTTTAAAAAACAACAGGCCGGGCTTGCACCCGTAATCCCAGCACTTTGGAAGCCCGAGGCGGGTGGATCACGAGGTCAGGAGTTCAAGACCAGCCTGGCCAAGATGGTGAAACCCCATCTCTACCAAAAATATAAAAATTAGCCCGGCATGGTGGCAGGCGCCAATAATCCCAGCTACTCGGGAGGCTGAGGTAAGAAAGCGTAAAGCAGGTACTAAGGGGCTTTAGGGGAAGATAAGTCTTCCTCTACAGTGAGAACTTCGGTATACACAGGAGTAAGTGAGGCCACGGGAAAGAATGTTCTTGACAGAACTGCATTAGCAAAATGGTAGGAATTTTAAGGAAATTAAAGAAAATGTACAAGTGGTACAACCAGAAATCACGGGGCTCTATGAGGATAAAATATCTTAAAAGAGTTTGGACTGCACCTTAAATGCAATAAGGAGCCACTGGAAAGTTTCCTATTTGATACTTGCTTTGTAAAAATATTACTCTATGAAGAATACAGGGAGGCGAGTCTGCAGTCACAGTGGCTACTAGTGGAATTTAGGGAATGAGATTACGTTGGACGCTGAATTAGTGGGGAAAAGTGGGCGTGAAAAAAACTTAAATTGAGAGGACCGTGTGACTGACTGGGCGGGGAAAGGTTAAGAGAGAATAAAGATCATTAAGGATGATTTCTCAGGCTTCTGGTCGGTTACCTGGATGGATGTTGGTGCTATTTCCCGAGAAGAGTTAAAGAGCCAGAGGTAGCCGGCAAAGAGAAAGAACATGAAGGTGAAATTTCAGATATCTGCAGTTTCCCTAATAATACCTCTTTAATCCAGAATTTGCTCCTTGCTTTGGTTTTAACCTCCCTAGAAGCTGCCTCCGTGTTGCAAAGCTGGCTGACTGCTTAAACAGGCAACCAAAGAGATTCTTCTCACAAGAGGGAGCCTTTGAGCACAACACGAGACACTGGAAGCTGTCAGGCTGAAGAAAACAGGAAGCTTAGGACTACCTAACACACCCCGCCTTAAAGGTCTCGGAGCGACTCCACCCGTAAAAGCCCCGCGACTCCGAGTGAAAAGTCCCGGCGGGTTGCGGGCTCCGCCCCTGGGAGGAGCTGGGGCTGGGTGGATGCCCGGATGTGGACGAGAGCAAGTGTGTGTCACGTGACGTCGTCCGACGAGACGGGGCTCTGCCTGCGCAGGTGGTGTTGGGTGCGACAACCAACCAATGGATGAGCGAGGCGGAGAATTTCGAATGTGGCGGCGGAAGTTGCCGGCGACGGGAGACGGTGCTACGGCCCTGTAGGGCCCAGCGCGCGGGGCTCGTGCGTGGCGGGAGATCCTTGAAGAGCCTTGAAATGTGAGGAGGAGGAAGATAGGTGTTGCAGAAGTAGTGACCAAGGTATCGTTCTGGACACGCCTGCAGCGGGAGGCTCGCCTGGCCCATATCCGCTAGCCCCACCTCCCCTCGGCTTTTCTGGAGTCCCTGAAAGAGGAGGACGTCGTTTTTAAGGTGTGAAGCAAGGGCGTAGTGATGATCCCTGTTTGACTTCCCTTCTGTTCTCAGTATCGTTCTAAATTCGGTGGCCGAAAGCGTGGGCTGTGGAGTCCCACTGGCCGCGCGCTTTTTGCCGTTCGGCCACTCGATCCGCGCTTTCAGATGTTCCGGCTTCTTACGTTAAATAAATGGAGACCCTAATTTCCTGCTTTTCAGAATTGTGTAGATAAGTGATGTGCAAAGCTTTTTACAGTAGTTAAAAGCCTGGCTCAACATAAGGACACAAGAAAATTGACAGCAGTTCTTTGTGCAGCGTGATAAGGTTGACGTCCTTCCTAGTCCAGGCCATTATCTTCCTCAGTTGCCCTGGAGAGGCCGGCGCTGACTAGTGTCCTACCTGGATGTCTTCGCAGCAGGACTAATTTGAGATCAAATATGCTAGGGTTTTTTGAATCCAAAACGCTTACGGGAGTACTGTACACACTGAGACCGTCATCCCGCACTGTAGCCTATCTTTGCTTTCATTCTGTCTGCCCCACCCCCTGCTATCACCTTCGCCTTAGACAGGATATAAAACTTTTAATATGACAAGTTTCTTTTGTGATTTTAACTTGATTAAAATAGCTAAAACTTTTTAGGTAAGGCTTTGCCTTTAAAATAAACTAAATCAGTGACTTAATCTTTATGACTCTCAAACATCTCCAATTCTAACTTAATTGTGTGAACCTTCTTACCATTAGTGCTTTTAAAAATAGATACCCTAGCTCTGCTAAGAACCTCCCAGTATATATTGTATATACCTTGGTAGAAAGAAAGTTCTTAAGTGGTATCTACAGTATCTATATTTAAGATTCCAGACATTGCATAAAGGAAAATAAGACCTGGAGAAAATAAGAGAGTGTAAGGTTTAGGAAGATATCCTTTATGGTGAAATTGTATGCATAGATTATTATTGGAAACGTTTTTTTTTTTTTTTTTTTTTTTTT